CCTCTTCCTTTTTTTTTTAAGACTTACTTATTTTTACTGGAAAAACAGATTTATGGAGAGAAGGAGAGGCGGAGAGAAAGATCTTGCATCTGCTAATTCATGCTTCAGATGGCTCCATTGGAGCTGAACCGATCTGAAGCAAGGAGCCAGAAGCTTCTTCCATATCTCACATGCGGGTGCAGAACCCCAAGACTTTGGGCTGTCCTTGACTGCTTTCTCAAACCATAAGCAGGAAGCCAGATGGGAAGTGGCACAGCCAAGACACAAACTAGCATACAATATAGAATCCCTGCTCTTCTAAGGTGAGGATTCAGCCTCTAAGCCATTGCAACAGGCTCTAACAACCCCTCTTTTCAATGCATGATTATTTGAGACATGATTTATGGATCCATGGCAACTAACATCCATGCGGGAGTATCTAACCCCATCATCATTTATCAAAATTGAAATTACAGGTTGGAAAATCTTGCTAATCTATTCTAGTATACCCAGATAATATTATTTACAGAAAGTGTATAATTATGTGAATAATTATGTGAAAGTGAATAATTTTTTTCCTTCTTGACAGAAAAAAAGATAGAGTTTAATGGAGAGAGCTATGTGCAACAAGATATGGAAAGAAAGTGAACCTGAATGTTTTATGCAAAATTATGCTCTACTGTACTGCACTCTATTGTATCTTCTACAATACTGCCAACATTTATCTGAAGAATGCAGGACAGGCAATGTTTGTCATGCTCACGAACAAGTGAAGTATATTAAACTTATTTTCCATGAAAATTTCATTGTTCTGAATAACTCCAAAATCAATATTTTATGATATGCAGAACATAATCCTGAAACTACCAAATTATGCAGAAATGTCATGTCCATTAACAACCAAACATGATTTTGTAAACAGTTACTTTGTGTCACAGAGAATTATAGAAAGAAATTGTGAAAGGGGACAACCCATAGAGCACTCATGCAGAACACTTCAGAAATGCTTTCCTACAACCAGTCAGGGGACAAACAGCATGAATGGCTAAAACTAATAGCAGGATATTTTAACCTACCATGAAAACAATAAGAAATGGAATGAAATCAGTCCTTTTATTCTAGAAAAGCAGAGTTAATATCCTATTATACGAGCCATGAAATGAAGCCGGAAGCAGCCACTTGCCTAGAGCCGGTGCTGCAGGTGAAGGCCAGGTTGAGCTGCTGACACAGCCCAGGGTTTCCCCCATGCCTTGCACAGAGCTGACCCCTAATGTCCAAGCAGCTGAGAAGGGGTGGACATCATTGCCTTGGAGACTGCAGTAAGTGCCCTTCCCAAGTCTTTGCAGAGAGGTGCCAGACCATGTTCTTTCAGGAGAAAGCCAAACGTCTGAAAAGACCAGCGGCAGGAAGCAGTTGTTCACAGCAGAAATGTTGTCTAACTTTTGCAACAATTTGAACTGAGTTGCATGTTATGAACCTTGTGTTTTTTTACCCATCCGGTGTAACAAAGTGCATTACTCGGTACTTTTAGTTACCTGTTATAGTGATATTTACATGACAATCTCTGTACACTGAGCCATAGTTAAGTAACATGAATGCAGACCTCACTTTTCTTATATGATCACCTCTATCAAGCTGCTCCTAACCAGACTCAGCCCATTAGCTATTTTGGCAGTCTTCTGTGATCTTTTGATTGAAAAGATAATTTGAAAAATTAGGTGACAAGTGTAAGATGCCTTTATGCTATTTAAATGACATAACTATCTGTTAAATGTTCGACAGAAGTGAACTACAATGTGAAGAGTGAAAATGGTGTGGGGAGAAAACTTAGCTTTTTTGGTAATAAAGCATAGCTTTTAATCTAGCACAAAAAAGAAGCAGAAGCAAAATCCAGCAGTTAGCACAAGACAAGCGGTTTGGTCAATACTTGCATATTTTTAACAGATGCTAACGGATGCAGATATTAAGTAGGATTCAGCACTGTAACTTCTCATCTAGTAGAAAGCATTGAGTTTTTCTGAATGAACAACCAGTATTAGTGGGTGCCAAGGAAATCCAACATGCAGTGTAGTTCCACACATCACCATATCAATAATACTCCAAGCATTGTGCCAATTTTATGCAAAAGTGTTTCACTTGATGGAGGAAAAAAGACTACCCTGAAATCTCACAGACTGAAACTCATGAGAAAATGGGATTTGTTCCACGAGAACTTAATATTATTTTTTTTAAAGGAAATCGCCTCCTGCATGTTTAGCGTCACCAGAAAAGCATGGGAAATTTGGTCGCAGTAGCAGAAATTCCAATTTAATTAACAGGAAAGGTGCCTTAAGTTTATTATAGTCTGCCAGTTAAAACTGGATTCAAGTAGCCAACAGTTTTGACAATTGCTGACAAATAATTAGAAGATTATTAATATAGCCATTTACTACTGAAATATGCTTCACAATATTGAACTTTTCATGCAATAGTTGAACTTACCAAGATTCTGTATTGGATGCAGACTGAATCGATTGTCCTTGTTCCTTGAATCTGGGTAAAACTCACTCATAGAGAGATTCTCTCTCTCAGGTTTATATTTTGAGTCCACAGCTTCACATATTTGATGAAAATGTTTGAAGAAAGTGAGATACTCAGGGTCTAAGCCCCCACCTGGAGCGCTAGTATCCCATATGAGCAACAGTTTATATCCGAGCTACTCCACTTCTGATCTATTTCCTTGCTTGTAGACTGGGAAAATTGTAGAAAGGACTCAAGTCCCTGGGACCCTGTACCTAAGAGGAGACCCAGAAAAAGCTCCTGGGCTTCAGATTGGTGCAGCTCTGTCCATTGTGGACATTTGGGGAGTGAAACAGCAGGTTGACAAGCTTTCTCTGTCTCTCCTCTCTGGGTAACTTTGCTTTTCAAGTAAAAGTAAAGGAAATCTTTCAAAAAGTGAGACATTCCTACATAGTTTGAAGAGACTTGTTTAGAGGAATGCATGTGAGTATGATATGAAACTGACTATGTTATTTGTACGAGCAAATCCTGACTGACCCAGCACCTGAAAACAGGACTACAGTGATGTAACTGGCAAGGAAATAGAACAAGCAAGACATTCTAAAGGGCTGGAGAATATAGTAAGGCTCTGATTAAACTACAGGCCTGAACAGCTCATCAAATTCTGCCAAGACCTTTCTAAGAAAACCCAAATTCTTGCTGCCTGATATTCTCATTCATGGAAATTCTTAAATCAGGAATTTGTACCAAGCAAATTACTTGTTTGTAAAGATTTGTAAATCAAAGTCAGAAAGCTAATCTAGGAATCAACAAATACATATTTTTGGACCGTGACAACAATAAAATGTTTTCAATGCCATTTTTATTCTGACTGAGATCACTGTGGTCTAAATTCTTTATTTTACTTTGTTCAACTCCTAAACTTCAATTAGCTTCTAGTCAAGACATGGTGATTAAAGCAAACGTGTTGAGTGAAGTTATTATGAATAGAACTACTGGTAAGTTTTCAACTGAGTTACAATAAAGATATCCAAAAGATGTAGACATTTTTTTTTTCCATCTGGTGCAGATACAAAGGCTTTGAATTTCAAAGTGCAGAAGAAAAGTGCTTATTAAGAACCATAGTCACATACAGGCAATTTTGTTCCAAGGAATTTCTATTTGCAGTAGAATATTGTAATAAGTAAGATGATTACATGAAATAAATCCAGGCAAGCATTGCTTAGCAACAGTTATCATTAGACTGCGGGCTTGATATATGCTTAACATGTTGTAGTAAAGCAGCAGAAATATTTAAGGACAGAGTTCTGGATTTCTTTCTTTCAACTTAAACGTGTGAAAATCTGAATATTACATTATACTTGAAATCAGTGCATTTCAATCAGAGTAAGCTATTGACCTTGGACTCTTCTACGGATGATGCCGATAAACAATCAAGCTGATTCACTTCAAGGTTCTTGTCGAAACAATACATTCCTAAAACCAGCTCAATTGGTCATTCTTCCTGACAGTGTTGATGCTAGGAACATTTTATTTGGAGCAGGTGTTTGCAGTGGTGTTTAAACTCTCACTCGGTTCACCAGTTTATGGGAGATCCTGAAGTTGAATCAGCTTCTGATCTGGCTTTCTGATAATGTACAACTTGGGAAAATAACTCAAGTGCTTGGGATCTTGTCACATGAAGGGAAAAGTCAGAATTGAGTTCTGCACTTTTGGTGAGGCCTAGCTGGTTTCCAGCTCTTGTGATCATTTGAGGAGTGATTTGCGGATAGAAGATCTTTCTCCTTCTCTCTTTGTCTCTCTTTCTCTCTCTCTCTTTCTCTCTGTATGTATGTATATATCTGTGTATATGTATTTGTGTGTTTTTTCCTCTGGTTTCAAAGCAAATGTTTTACTTTTACACTGTTATTTTTACATCCAAAAGTTCAGAGTCACAGCTTAACATTGCAAATCATTTTCACTGTCATCCTTTTTCCTTTTCTGTGTTAATGTGAATTAAGGTAATATTAAAGTTTAAATAAATTCCAGAGATTGTTCTACATTCTAGGTTTTAATCATTATTGGCATTTTCTCTCCTTATTAAACTGAACTAAGTTGTATTAGTTATAACATTTTGTGAATCTACTCCTATTAGAATGGTCCAGTGTTTAGTTATAAGATGTTCAAGGCATGATATATTTGAATACATTTTACTTATAACTATGAACAATTGAAATATTTCATAAATTGCAAACTAATGCATGGTGTGTATTGTTTCTTCAAAGCTGCATTCTAATATGATCCTCATTTTTAAACTAACGACTCATAAAATATGACTGCCAAATTCTTTTCTTTTTGCCTTTTCTTGTTGCCAAGCAGCTTTGATCAGCTCTCATACTATTCCTCCAATCCGAGCAGTTTACTCTGCTCATTAACGATGTTGTCATGGATTGTGTGGCTCTGCTCATTCGCCTCCAAGGTGAGCCTTTAGGATTACCTCTTTGAAAAAAAAATTCCTATAAAAACTTTTAAAACTTATTTTTAATTTGCAAACAAACTTTAAAACATTAATGGTCACAGACACTTGTTTTTCCATTCTCCTCCATGGAAATCTTTAGTAAAAGGCGAAAGATTTATATGATCTGAAGTGAAACCGGAGTATTCCATTCCCTATATTAAAATGTTTTTTATATGCAGCCCATTAAAAATGGCATTTACATGGTCTGGTGCAATAGCCTAGTGGCTAAAGTCCCCACCTTAATGTGCAGAGATCCAATATAGGCGCCAGTTCTAACCCCAGGGGTCCTATCCCTTCCAGTTCCATTTTTGCGCCCTGGGAAAGCAGTCGAAGACAGCCCAAAGTAAAGGTCCCTGGATTCAGAATGGTACAGCCCTGGACACTGCAGCCACTTGGGGAGTGAATCAATGGGTGGAAGATTTTCCTCTCTGTCTTTCCTCCTCTCTTTATATCTGACTTTGCAATAAAAAATAAAGAAATCTTTTCTTTTTAAATGGCTTTTGTAATACTATAAGCATTGCTTGTTTTAACATAACCATCCCCCCAATTTAATTGTTGACACAGAAGACATAATTTTAAAAATTAGCTTTAGTCTGATTTAATTCAATTGATGCAAACTGGAGAAAGGTAATAGTAATGACAATACTGTAACGATGCTTACTTATTGTAACATTAAAATGTCTCAGAACTATAAATTTTGGCAGAGAGGGACTGCCCAAGTACTAAATTCTCACCCTAAAATTGCAAGGAGCCGTTTGAGTGCTGGGTCACGTTCTGGCTGTTCTAATTCCCATCCAGTTCCCTGTTTATAGCCAGGGACAGCAGTGGAGGATCACCAAAAACCTTGGAACACAGCATCCACATGGAAGACACAGAGTAAGTTCCTTGCTCCTGTCTTCAGTCCATTTCCAAGTATTGAAGCCATTTGCTGAATGGACCAGTGGATGGAAGAATTTTCTGTCTCTCTTTCTATCCATAATTCTGATGGACCTTTTCCATAAAAGTAAATAAATCTTAAAAAAAAGAGTTATAGTTTTGATACTGCCTTCCACACTTCCTGCTTAGTGGAAGGGAGCAAATAGGCAGTTTGCAACATATGTATATCAAGACTTCCAGCTGTGAGCTAGGTTAACTTGAGCCTGTATGAACAGTAGCACAAAAAGACAGTATAATGAGAGCAAAAGACAAAGTAGAGAAGAATTGGGAAGATAAAGAACTTTTCATATCATTCTGCTGAAAGTCTAAAATGGCTGGATAAGATCCCTGGGTTTAGTTAGGGTAGTGGTAAGAAACTATCAGAATAGTTGGCAGACCAATTATAGGGTTAGAACTATGCTTTTATAAAATAAATCTAGGAACTGAGGAAGGCATCATTTGGAATACAAGAAGTTTAGAATTAACTCATGGCGGAATTTTCAGAAGACCAAGGGGGAAAAAGAATGGTCCCAGATAAACGACATCTGATCATCACATAAATTCTTTAAACCATTTTCTTTCTCAATATATCATTTGATTTGCTCAGCAACTCATTAAATACAAAAGGGCAAATTCCAAGCAAGACATTTCATTATTTTCCAACAAACTCGAAGAAGAAATGATTTGTTTATATCTAACGTATTGGTAAGTGCAAACTTTTCTTTTGAAATGTAGATATGCTTTTCCTTAAAGGAAATAGTGTGTATGCCAATATGAAATAATTTGAAAATGATTGGTATTGAAAACGTGTCAATGTTAACCAAAATAAGCAAGTGTCGAAGCTTGTTCTGCAGCAGGAAGTTCCAGTAAGGAACTTGCCTGTGGCTGAGAGTTGGGGAACTCAGTTTTTGTTGGGTGAGATTTTGTTTTATTTTTATTGAGCACAAAAGAAATAAATGCACTGCATTTGTCAATGTTAGGTTATTATATAAAAAATTGAAGACACATATACATACCAGCCATAAGCAGCAGCAGAAAGCAGCTCTCCCAACAAGGAGATAAAAGCAGCTGGGCGAGTGGGTAAACCCATAACCTTACATGTTTCCCTTCAACCGTTCTCTGCGTAGAGACTCAATTGTACATACAAACACAGTCTCAATAAAGTCAATCAGAGTATTCTGAATTCACTTAGGATGCAGACATTAAAAAGACTGAAGATAAATTTAATGGAAATGCTACATTCTATCTCCATCTGTGTGACACACTGACAGACAGAGCTGTAAGCACTGTTCTCCAATGCATGGTTCCCTGCATGAGTCACGGAGGAGGCTGATCCACGCACGGCACAGAGACTGTGCTGCTTTCAGAGCTGAGACATACTCTATCCCTTGATTGGCACAGCAGTTGCACAACCTTACATATTTGCCCAAATGTACATCTTTAAAAATACAATTCGGTTGTTTATGAATTATACCCATCATGCATCTGGTTCCAATGAAAACCATGTGTGTCCCCATGGATATCATTCTTTAGAGTCTCAAATTCAGAAATTGAAATAAGCATTGGTGACTCATTATTTTAGAAGAAGAGCAGTTAAAAGCCCTAAAAGTCAACCAACATGAAAAATGGTCAGAAATGGCCAAACCAAGCAAACTTTCCAAAGCAGAACGTTTATGGGGATATTCTCCCTGTCAAGCTTACTTCACTTATTGATTCATTAACCCAAAGCTATTGATTAGCAAATATTTGCCGGGCATTATTCTCAAAGATAGTGTCAAAGATGAACACCGCAGGGCACTATTTAAATCAATGAACACATAATTTATTCAGTAATCACTGACAATGGGGAAAAAGAGCTGCAATACATACTCATCTGAGCAGAGGTCATTGGGCATTTAAGAGCCAGAATGAGCGAAGGACGTCTCCAGAGACTGGAACACACAGGGAAGTGAAAAATGACAAAGGATTGCTCAGTGTAAAATCAATTAGGCCACATGTGTCTGATAAGTGCAATTAGAAGGCCAGGGTTCTATCATCCCAGGGAGACTGGGTAAGCAAGGTCCTTTCCTGTCTGATGATTAATTACATTCCTAAAGCTTGGCTTTCAGGTCCCTGAGAAAGGCACTTCTGAGTTGTAAGGGATACATTTAGATCTCAAAGGGACAGCAGAAATTTTCATAGTCTTTGGTATTTGACATTGTAATTTCCAAGAAGTTCTAAGAAAGGCAGGTTGGGCATGCCTCATATTTTGACTAGCATGAAGAATAAATTCCAACAACAATATGACTTCTTACACAAGCTGAGAGAGAGAGAGAGAGACAGAAACAAAAATAGGACAAAGAAAATGCTAGAAGTTTCCATCATCGTGTTGCAGGGAACTGACAAGAAAGAAGGAAGCAACTTGGATTCTAATCCCACAAGAAAGAAATTCCATGCAGACAGTTTCAGTAAGCAAGGCGGTGTTTACTCAGTGAGAAATCTCTGTCACAGCAACAGAAAGCAACTCCAAGAGGCCACGCCCCGGAGTGCCTGTGAAGATGGAGCCTTTAAGTGCTGCTTTGGGAAGGAGAGAAAGCAGGGAAAACAAACAAAAAGCCCTGGATCAATTAAAAGGTGAGGAGAAACGTGAAGGAAAGCAGGAAGACACTGAGATTTGGGTTTGTGAGAAGGGGAGGCTGCCATCACACCCTCACGACGGCTTTGTTGTTCTGTGTCAGGAGCTCTTTGCTGAGCCCCCTCTCCACCCTCTAATCGATCCGTTTTTTCCTTTCAAAATTGTGTCTGAGGGACATCACCGGCACCGTCTCCACCAATCTTTCTGCTCTTAGAGCGACCTCCTGCTGCTGCTGCAGATTTCCAGCTCTCAGCCAAAACAAATTCCGCCTTGCTCCCTGAAATTGTCATGTCAGGCAAGAATCCAGGTCTCCATCTTTCTCATGGAAACTCCCCACAATAGTAAAACGGTTGCTTGCCCTTATCATTTGTCCCATACATATTTTAAAATGCGTCTCTTTTAGTTGCACTGCCAGGTACTAATTTCTTAGATTGCTATTTATGTATCCTCTGAACCTGGTATCTTGTTGCCCTATGGAAATCCATGGTAAGACACCACCATTGAGTAAGGTGGGACTAGAAAAAATACTATTGTTTCTCATCCAGTGCATGAAGTACCATGAAGTTACTACGATTAGATTCTAGGCCATCCCAGGGAGTAGTTTGTACTTCAACATTTTCCTATTTTACAACACTTCGGATTTGATTCGTGACAAATCAGACTGTAACTGATAGGTCCTTTATTAGCAAAGTTGAAAATACTCAAGATAGCATAATCCAATCTACTTGTTTCAATGAAACACAGGATTGCTTTTTTCTGAATCTGTTTGAAATTAGATGTCAGCTAATAAAATGGGATTCGGGATAGCGATCTACATGTGGCAGTAAGGTGGAGATGGTAAGGTGAGGGAAGAAGTTCTCATCCCCTTACACTCTTGCTGCAGTGCCTGTTGGAACTGTTGAGTCTGAGTTTCCGACTGGCCTGCCTGCTTAGATCTCATGAAACTTCACACTATGTTTTTTAACTTGAGAAATATTAATTTGGGGATTCAGCGCAACAGCCTAGTGGCTAAAATCCTTGCCTTGCAAGCGCCAGGATCCCATATGGGTACTGGTTCCTGTCCCAACTGCTCTGCTTTCATTCTGCTTCCTGCTTTTGCCCCGGAGAAAGTTGTAGAGGAAGTCCCAAAGCCTTGGAACCCTGCACCTGGGTGGGAAATCCAGAAGAAGCTCTTGGCTTCAGATCAACTCAGCTCTGGCCATTGTGACCACTTGTGAAATTCATCAGTGGACCGAAGATCTCTCTCTGTCTCTCCTCTCTTTAGACCTGACTTTCCAATAAAATAATAAATACTTTCTTTAAAAAAAAAAGATATTAGTTTTTAGGTTTCAGAATCCCTAGATTTGGGGGTTTTATAGCAGCCTGTCAAGTGGAAATACATTATTCTGCTTCATAGTTAAGAAAATGAAAGCTGCTAGTTAACTGTGTGTGTGTTTCTGTGTGCACACGGGAATATGGGAAGCCCTATGTTCTGCTGTGTTCTGATGCCCTGTGCTAGGCTGTCTGTATGCCTCAGCTCAGTCATGTTAAATGACCAACGTCAGTGCATTAAGAGGAAGAAGACATTTGTAACAATCATGCACATTATCCGGGCAAAGGTGGCACTTTTCCTGTT